GGGCGGCGGCGGTCGACGTAAGGGAGCTTCCCTCAGGGCGCGGCGCCGCCGCAGGCCGGGCGGCGCGCCGCGTGCGAGCCTGGGCGGATGTGAGGGCCGTAGCGCGTCCTGGGGCTGGCCCCTGCCGCTCGCCCCGTCCTGCCCATGCGACCCCTCCTCACCCACTCGCCCGCCCCAAGACCCCCCCTCCGGGCCCCGCTACCTGTCGACATTTTCGACCTCCAACCACTCCGGCAGCAGCTCGGCGGTCGCGCACAGCCAGGGGCGGTACAGCAGGTCCGAGTACAGCCCCCGTACCGCCAGCGCCCGATGGCTGCCGGCGACGTACCGCCGCTGCGTGTGCAGCAGGTAAGTCTCGCGCCAGCTGCCATGCCAAGACTGCATGCCGCCGGGCAGGCCCTATAAGACATCGGGGGCCGCGCGGGCGGCAGGCGCAGGGCGTGGCCGGGCGCCCGGGTGACGATTCTCCGCCCAGGCTGTGGCGAAGTCCACGCCGCTGCGCGCCGCCTCAGCCTGCGTGTCGCGCGCTCTGCACGCATTCTCCCGGCCACGCCGATCGGCCGGCCGCCCGCTCGCCCCCTTGCCGCTGCTGTGCGAGGCAGCGCCCCCCGCCATGGGCGCTGCATGCACCACCCACCTCGAGCAGTAGCGCCTTCCACAGCTCGTCGAAGTGGCAGTACGCGTACAGCGCCCTGCTGGCCATGCCGAGCCGCTGGAGGTCGGATGCGGGCAGCAGGTACAGCAGCTGGAGCAGCACCTCATCGGGCAGCGCGCCCATGTGGCCGAGCCCCGGCCCGCGCGCGTCGCCGCACGCCTCGAGGAAGGCCTGGCCGTTAGGCTTGATGCCGTAGGGGTGCGGCGGGCACGCCATAATGCTCTGGGAGGGGGCGAGGCCGGGGCCGCACGGCGAGGGCTGGGGTGGCGGCAGGGCGCCTGCGCGCGCGGCGACCTCGCGCTCTGCCCGCGGCGCGACGGCTGGTGAGCGGACGGCGCCGGAGAGCGGTGGGTGTAGTGTCTGTCGCAGAAGATAACGAATATATTCCAATTTGGTTTGAAGTTACTCTATTTTGATATGCGAGACACACCGACTCGCTCTGTCAGAGATCGGTGTGGGCAAGGGCAGAGCGCGGACTCGCTCAACAAAGCAACCAGATGTGGGATCTCAATAATCCAGACACCGCTGCGGCAGCGGAGGTTCAGTGACAGGGTCACCCGGCCACATGCTCAGCACGTTGGCTCGAGGTGTCCACTCCTGTGCAGCTCACCACATTCAAGGCAGGTTCTTGGGGCAGGTCCAAAAGTTCACGTTGTCATAATGACCTTTGAGACTCCGCCCTTTGGACAACAGTCCCCCGCAGGATGGGGGCGATGCAAAGCCTTGTCAACCCCTGGCAAAACAGCCGCGAGAACCGGACCTCGCTTCCCTCGGGCCAACACGCGCCGGCAGACTCGACAGCATACACCTCCCCCCACCCCCCCACGGCCATTTACGGCTCCAAATTGGAGTTGCTTTATGTGCTGCCTAAGCCGCCATGCAGGCCTGCCTGCTGCGCGCCGGGACCCTGAAGCTTGTGGGGAACGCTCGCCACAACCGCTCCTCGCCTGTTTGGCTGTGACCCGCCGCCACAGGAGAAGGATGTGCGGCAGTCAACGTGCGCTGTGATTGCGCACTGCTGGCTTTCTGATCCCAGCAGCCTGCATCTCCCAAGATGAGGACGTCCTCATGCACTCGTCTAGGACACCCCGGGGGGGGGGGGGTATGCAGCTCCCCGGAGCGCCAGCACCCTTGTGCTGGGTGCGCCACGGCCGCAAAGCGTGGCTGCGCGCGAGGTCATGCACGCAAGTCTGAAACATATTTAAACCTGTCATCCCTCAGGACTCAATTATGATACCTCGAGGATCTCACAATTCATGCTGTCCTGCGTCTGACCGCTGGGCTCCCGGGGCTCTCTCAGGGCTTGACTTGGAACGGCCAGCCCTGCCATGCGTCACAGGACGGCGCGCGACGACACGCGTGTCAGGTTGCGCGGCTAGAGGTGTGATACACGCTGGTGTGCAGCGTGGACCGACTGCCACTACTGTACTGCCGAGTGACTGCGGGGATCTGCCAGCTGCAAGCGCTTCCACTCCCGCAGCTCTGGTGCAGGAGGGGTACTTCGTTGCGGCGCACCCAGCCCGCCCAATGCCTGCTGTGTTGCATTTGTAACGTTTGTGTACATACCTTGGCCTGCGCGACTGCCACACGTCAAAGCGCTGCGTGCTGCCAAGTGCACCTGACAACTTCAGACTCCACGTGCCCTGCGTGCTCCTCTCGTCTCACACCAAACCGCCACGGCATGCGCACACGCACCAAACCAACACCTATATATATATATATATGTAAAGATCTATATATATGTATATGTAAAGATCTAGCTCGCGTTCTCGCATCTCGTGTGCTCACCCGCTGTATGCGATCCTGACAAGGGGCCAGACCTTGTCAGTCTGGCAGCACAGGCAGGGTGGCACCTCGCCGTCACACTAAGCGTGGGTGCCGCTGCAGCCATCGATGACTGCTGAAAAGGGGGGTTTCTCCACTGTGACATCCAGTGTGCCCTTCTGCCAGGGCAAGGCGTGATGACAGCCGGTGGGTGGGCCTCTGACATGTGCACAAGTTTTGCACAACTGTCACTGTACCTCACTTGTGGGGTGACGCGCTTCAATAACATTCTGAAGCCTTGCAGGCCCAGAGGGCATGCATGATTGTTTAAAATATCGCTTGAAACTTGCAGTAGCAGGCACACACCTTACTAAAGTGCGAAGGGGTACCCTGTTTCGGGCGGCGAGTTCATTGATCAAGGCATGGTGATGTTGATTTGGGCTGTGGTGGCACGGACGACTCATGCTCGCTCTGCGCCATAGCTTGATCCTGTTATATGGGGACGAGTGTTGGCAAATCCAAATGCTGGACCTCCGCGCCTATGGCTGTGAGCCTGCATACGGTAAAGCTAGCTTTGTGTGGTCCCCTGGCCATGGGTGCTGCAGAACCCATCTTCCCAAGGCACGCAGTTGCATACTATGGCCTCGGCCGCTTCCCCTTCTTTGTCGCATGATGTTGCAGGCGTGTGCTCGTGCGAAGACTCCTAGAAACCTCTGTGGGTGCCCCCTTCTGTAACTGCGCTGCGTGGTGTCCTGAGGTCAGCAGCGCACATCATCAGATCACCCAGCAGTTGCACTGGAGTCAACCATCGCGAGATGTGTGCATCTGCAAGCTTCAGTATCTATTTATTTTGATTCGCAGCACTATCCAGCCTCCGCCGGAGCCTCCGCGCGGCGGGCTTCTCAAGCGACTTCACATCAACTCGGCTGACGACGTTCGTGAAGTCAACCGACGAGAGACAGAATGCACCGGAGGCCGGATGATTCGATGTAAAAGTCTATCACATAATCATTATGTGGCGCACAGCAGGTGTGAGCTGTCCGTGTCACCGGAGCAGAAATCAACATCATCATTCTCACGATCCAGGGGCTGCGGGTCTGCACAACCAGAACAGAGGAACTGCCTGTGTCCTAACACACGTGACTTTTAAGCACTCAAGCTGACCGGGCGAATTCAGACAGTGCGGCAGGCAGTCGAGGCATACAATTATTAGGGCCAGCGGTCGCCCCAATAATCGACTGGTAGAGTCAAATGGCAGCCGGGACCCTCGCGAGCCCAAGCACAACCGGCAGGGGCAGGCTGCGACTGCAGACTGTGCAGCGCCATGCCTTTGCGGCCATCTGCTTCCTGTGCGGGTGCCTCATCACCCGGATGTTTGTGTGCTCCAAGCACGAAGTGCTGCACATGCATGCAGCAATGAGCTTGCCAGGCGATAATCATCCCATGTCGTCGGGTGCCCACGTGGACGAATCTAGCAAGACCGTGGCGCAAACTCTGGCAGGGTGAGCTAGCAGGGTGTCCAACGTTGGGGTCAGTGCTTCTGTATGTGTATCAGATGTCTCACCTCGTCGCGCTGGCTCCCAGATACAACGTATACATCCTTGATGAGAACAAGTTCTTTTCTTATGTGGCCAAAGGCCTTCATTTGGCGCTGAAGGAGCTTGGGGTCAAGCACAAGTACGTCAAGCGGGTCAGATCCTGCATGGCCCCAAACGACTTGTACATCATGTTCGACGCCCACCAGCCTTACAGGCTCCCCAGGAACTTCATAGCCTACAACTACGAGCAGCTGATCACGACAAAGGTGTGGCCGCCAGAGTTTTTCGAGCGCTTGAAGGGCGCGGTGATGGTCTGGGACTATTCACGTGAGAACATCAAGGTGCTCAACGGCAAGGGCGTCAACCGCACAGTGCACCTGCCATTAGGGTACGCGCGCAACATGGAGAACAAGTATCCACCTGTACCTCGCGATTTGGACATCTTGTTTGCTGGCGCAAAGGGTGGAACTGGAACGCGGGACAGGAAGCTGCTGCAAATCAACGCGTTTCGGGCCCAGCCCCCATGGAAGACGAAATTCGTCCACGACACGTTTGACGACGCTCTGCTGAAGCTGTACAGACGCTCGAAGGTGTCCCTGAATCTTCACTTTTACGCTGGGCGGACCATCTTGGAGGTGCACCGCATCCTGCCCCTCATCGTCAGCAAGGTCCTTGTGCTGTCGGAACCCAGTGACGACCCCTGGTGGGACCATGAGTACAAGGACCTCGTCAACTTTGCAGGTGGAGATGACATCATTTCTCCACTCAGCAGCCTCCTGGGGTCAGTGGACATAGGGGCCGAAACTGAAAAGCGATATCAAATGCTGCTGTCGTGTTGCCGCTACACGAGGTACGTTTCAGCGGCTTTGGGGCAGGTACCGGGCCCGCTTCGACCACAAAACAGTCTTTGAGGTTTCACATCCAAAATGCCTTGTATGTAACTGCGCCACGTCAGAGCAGGTGACATTTGTATTCTTTGAATGAAAGCAGAGCGATTTGTTTATTTGGCACATGCAATGTTTCTTGGTTTATATGGGTTAAGAAATGGGGCGCGAGCACCTCACTGATGACAGTGGCCCTGATCTAGGAAGTCACAATACTGTTTAACCCATGTAAAACAACAGCATAATGCTCACCGTGTCTGTCACCCTGTCTAATGATTTGCAAATCAGGCCAATTGCCCGGTGGGCTTTTAGAAGGTGTTGGAGTAGCCAAAAGCAGACGGTCATGACAAGGACAGAGAGAATTAACATGCCATATTACCGCAGTGCACAATGGTTGGAAGTTTTGGGGTGTTTCAAGAGACGGTGGGCATTTCGACAAAAAAAAAATGCTCGCAGCACCAACCTGTACTTCAATACCTCCTTGCCCTCGCAGGACTGGCTGGGGGTACATTGACGGCATGCGGCCACAAAGCGTTGAAGATCGCAGTCTGCAAGGCCCCGGGTGCAAGATTCAGGGTGTGACGTGCACGCAGATGTGGAGCAAAATGATACTTGTGTGGAAGCTGTTGATGTCGCATTTGCTATTGCAGCTCATGTATCCGAACATTGGAGCTTTGCCCTGAATAGCATTGCATAACATGTCAAGGCGGCCGGAGGAGATTTTGGTAGTAAGGAAGCACTGCGCCTTCTGCGCGTTCATCCGCGGGTGCATCACAACCGCCATATGATGAAGCACCTGCCCATCACTGCAAGCACCTGCCACACGCGTGGTGACACATCGCCCCCACATCATTGATTTGTCAGCCGATGATTAACATGTTCTTTTGCTCAGAGTTTTTGCAGCTGCCAGCACATGCGAGAACGAACTGCAGGATGAGGTGCAAGTTGCGCTTTGCCACCAAATCTTTGGTGGCGCCACCAAATCTCCCTGGCATGCAGCATAGAATGATAGAATCTCCTTGTCAATCCTAATGAGAGGTTTTGGCGTTTGTACACCGTGTTTATATCCAATGCTATACTTGGTACGTAACCCCAGGGATGGGTACGTATGAATTCTGATATGTCGTGTAAAGAACGAATACCCTCATATTGCAGACAATGGGGTTGATACAGGCGAACCACGCAGGTTCAAGCGAGCGTCTCATACACATTTACGCACGGCCTTGTTGCACCTGCGACCATCGTTGAATCGTATCAAATATGTAAAAGGGCTTACACATATCTATCTGTTTTCAGTGCATACTTTTGTCGTGGGGAAAGATCTCTCAGGTCCTCGCACTTGTGCCGAGGCTCATTCGGGATCGCAATGCAGCGTCAAGCCACATACAGGCTCTTAGGTTTCCTCGGTAGCAGCAGCTGCTCTGCCGAGGGTGCTGCAGCTTTGGCATGGTGCGAGCGCTTCGCCTGGGGCGCCGCAGCAGCGGGCACCAGGCCCTACCACGTCGCCGCAGCGGCCGCGGGTCCCGCCCGCGCATTCAGCTCCGCGCCGCCGGCCACGGCCAAGCCGACGTACAACGTGCCGCTGGGCCACCAAGACTCCGACCTCAGCAGCGTGGCGTGCCACATCGGGCTCGGGCGGCGGCGGGACCTGACAATGAGGGAGGATTTGGGGCTGTGGAAAAACGGCGACACGCGCATCAAGCTGGGCGATGTTTTCAGGGTAATGTGGGAACGCGATGCGCCTCGTTAGTAAGGGGACCCCTTCTCAGGCGCGCTCCTGGCGCCGAGGCGGCGCATCGCGCGCCCCGGTCGCAAACGCGCGTCGTCGTGCCTCGGCCGAGGTTTTCCCCGCCCAGCGCACCGGCCGTCCCGTGTCCACCCGAAACTCCTAGGGCTGCAAGGCTCTCCTGGTCGGCTTCCCCGGCGGCAAAATCTGCACTGAACAGCACGTGCCCGGCTACGTTGCCGCGGTGAGCCCCCACCACGCCAGCCGCGCCCCGCCACGCGGCGTCACGCCGCGCGGCCGCGCGCCGCCCCGGGCTCGCCTGAGAGCAGATGCGCACCCAGCGGCGCGGCGAGCTGTGCGCGGCGCCGCGGTCGCGCCGAGGCAGTGGTTGCGCTCGCGACCGCTCCACGCGTGCGGCGTGTGTTTCTCCGCGATCCGCCAAAGCCGGCCAAACGCGAGCCCCGCGGCGGCCCTGATCCGCCGCGCGCAGATACCTGAGTTGAAGGCGGCGGGCGTGGACAAGGTGGTGTGTGTCACTGTCGGCGACCCCGAGGGCGTGCGCAAGTGGGCGGCGGACAACGGCTTTGACAAGGACACGGTGCGCGGCTGGCCGAGGGGCTCGAGTGTGGCGCAGGGTCGGCGCCGCCCCGGGCATAGGATGCTGGGCCGAGGGAGTGGGGGGCGGGCGCCGGGTACTGAGAGGCGGCCTCGAGCCTGAGGGATTGAGTGGTGGTAGAAGCGCGGAGGGCGGCGGGAGGCCAAAAGTCGCAGGGCGAAGGGAGTTTGCGGTTGATGTGGGGTGCGCACCAATCTTCCTGCCGCGGCCCCGTGCCCCGTGCGCCGGGTGGCCGCGTGCATGGCCACGCTCTAGCCCTCGCTGGGCCCAGCCCCTCAAGCGGCCCGACGCGGCCTGCGCTGACCCCGTCCCCGAATCGCCGCGACGCCCGGGCAGGTGCTGTGTGTCCTTGCTGACAAGGACCAGGGGTTCATGCGGGCGCTGGGGCTGGAGCTGGGGCCGACTGGGGCCAAGTGCCAGCGGTTTGCGGGGGTTGTGGACAACGGCATCCTGCTGCGGCTCAAGGTGGAGCAGACGCCGGGGGACCTGAAGCTGACTCACGTGCAGGGCATGCTCAAGACATTCAAGGTGGGGACATGTCTGACTGCTTCCGTTTGTGCTTCTGTGAGTGAATGTGTGTGTGTGTGTGTGTGTGTGTGTGTGTGTGTGTGTGTGTGTGTGTGCGCGCGTGCGTGCGTGCGTGTGTGTGCAAATGCGCAGTCGCACGCGTGCGTGGACGCGTGCGTGTGCATTCGTCGCCAGGGGGCGCAGGCCGGGGCCGCGGATGAGGGTGTCGCCTGAGTGCATGTCCGGGGGATGAGAGCTCCCCCATGAGTGGGTTTGCACTCTCGCAAATGCGCACAGTCTCCTGCCATTTGTGAGGGTCATAGCGCATTTGTCAGCTTTCTGCAACGTCCCCCCTCACCTGCCTCGTACGCCATGCATTGTCTGGCCAACACACGCAGGACTTTTTTGGCACCAACTAGGCGCCAAAGTGGCGCGTTCACCGCCGTCGGTAGCTTCCGCGGCGCGAGCTTGACATACTTTTTTGACATGTGGACACTGCAATTCCAACTTGACGGTTGGCCACGTTGCGCGATGATGACGCAATGGCTTCAACCACGCTTGCACTCGTGTCCGGTCAGCCCTTGTCAAGGCCTGACGGCATTTGCTGGGCCGTCGGGAGGGGCATGCCCGGCTTTGGTATGCAAACTGTGGCAGGTTGTAAGTGACACCTCCCTGCTGTTGATTCTGAGGATCATGCAAAATGATATCCGCGGTCGAGCCTAGGCAGCCGATGCACAGGGCTGGGTTGCAGCTGTTGTCAGGCAGCGCGCCCGTCCTGCAGGCCGTGCCACGTAGGAGGCTGTGTGCTGCCCCCTGTGGCACACCAGCTGTTTGAATGTAGGGGACTTGCACGAGCTCTGCCAAAATCAAATGTACTCCTCTGCAGGTGCTGGTGTGCTTCAGCGTCTTGCTGTCGGCTCATCAATGTGGAGTTGAGACGTTGGCTGGGCCTGGGGTGCTTGGCCAGGCCCAGCTGGTGAACCAGCATGAAGCCCTGCCCTTGCAGATGGGGCAATGTCAGATGAGTGTGGTGTGGTTGATCGTCGGTGAATTCAGCTCAAAGTCCTGGAACAGTCACCCGTTTCAAATTGGTCACTCTGTCTTCCGATTATATCGGGCGGGGGGTGACCGCGCCGATCTGGAGGATGCGCTCCGACCTCGCCATTGCTGACGATATTGTGTCCATTATTCTTGCCGTACAAACTCTCCCCACACATCACCGGCCCTTCTCGTTTTCGTTGCCGGGCCGCTCTCGCGAGAGCTGCCCCAGCACACGTCGAACTGGCGTCCCAACCTCCAGATAACGCTTATTGTTTCGAAGACTATCTGGCGGACATGGGACAGGCAGACAGCAAACCGGGAGATGGAACCCCTCCGCAAGACAGCGCGCCTGGCCACGAAATGGGCCTGGCTCGTCTCCAGGCCATCACGGTGAGAGGCGCATGCGCTGGCCTGCGGGTGCCATGCGGGCGATCGCGCGGCGGCGGGGCGCCGCCAGATCCGCCCGGTTGACGCTTTGCGACGCGGCCGCCGCGATCGGGTGCACCTGCGGCCGACGCGCCCCTCCGCCAATTTCGACGCAGGGCGCCAAAGCCGCGGATACCAAGATTAAGCCGCGGGGCCCCAGGGCCGCCCCGGGCGACCTCGAGTTTGTGAAGGTGGGGGGGCCGACGGGGCCAAGGGGCTCCCATACAATCGCGAGTGCGTCGAGGGGGGGAGGGGAGGGGGCGGGCGCCTCTTGCATGACCCTCACAGGCAGGGCGGGGCCGGGCGAGCACAACCACATACCATGGGCGTCTCATCCCGCCGCTGCGCCCGCGCCTCGCCGCCACCCCCTCTTCTCCCGCAGAGCTCCCTTTGCAACCTGCTGCTCTTCGGCCGCCTTGACAGGGCCGCACAGGGCAAAATCGCGGAGCACACGTGGGAGCGTGCCGTGGCGGCCGGGGAAATCCTGATCCAGGAGGGGGAGGTCGGGCTCGCGGCCACCGAGCTTTTCGTTGTCAAGTCCGGGAAGTTTGAGGTGCGCGCGCGGAGTGCGCGCGCGCGTGCGTGCGTGTGTGTGTGTGTGTGTGTGTGTGCATATGAGCACAAGTGCGTGCGTGCGCACGTGTGTATGGGTGTGTGCATTTGCATGTGCGTGCGGCCTGAGGCTGGCCCGCTTGGGCCCCTCCACCACCGAACACTCCCCAGCGCCGCCCCAGCAGCCCCCCGCGCCCGCGGCCCCCGCTCAGCGGCCGCACTCACGCGCCCTCCGGCCCTGCGGTGCCCGGCCCCACGGCGGCGGCAGGTGCTCGAGCGGCGCAAGGGCGTGAACATGCGCGTGAACATCAAGGAGCGGGGGGACGTGTTTGGCGAGGTGTCTCTGCTGTATAACTGCCCCCGGACGGCGACGGTGGCGGCGACGACGGACGCGGTGGTGTGGGTGCTGGAGCGCGACGTGTTCAGGTGGGGTTGATGCGGATAAGGGTACCCAACAGCGCTAGGAGTAGGATGCGGGCGGCGCGGCCGGGGGTCCACCATTCGCTGCAAGGCGGGGGGACGGCACAAAAGCGGGCCTGGAGCCGTTTTTGAGGGGAAGGGGACGCCTCGCTTTGGCTTTGGTCACACGCACAGGCTGGGGCGCGGCCCTCAGATCTTGCCCAGCCGGCGCAACGGGTGCGCGCGCATTCCACCCTTCCTTTTGTCTCGCTTCCTTCTCACTCACACTCGCATGCAACAAACACGCAACACTGTGCATTTCACCCCCTCACGCCCCCCTCTAATCCCAGGAAGTACGTCCAGGAAGCTGCCGAGGGCGAGGCCGGCCAGATCGAGCTCTTCCTCAACAGCGTGCCCCTGCTGAGCCCCCTCAGCCGGGAAGCTAAGCTGAAGCTGGTGGACGCGTTTGCCGAGGAGGTGTTCCCGGCTGGCAGCGTCATCATCAGGGAGGGTGACCCGGGTGACAAGTTCTACATCGTGAAAG